GCAGCCGCCGCCAGACCCCCCCGCAATGATTGACCCTCGTCCTCCTGCTCCTCCTCCTCTTCCTCTTTCTCCTCCTACTCCACCTTCTCGTCCTCCTCGTCCTCCTTCTCCTTCTCGTCCTCCTCCTCTTCCTCCTTCTCCTTCTCCTCCACGTCGTCCTCCTCTTCCTCCTCCATTGCTTTTCCTTATTGAATAGTGTCTCCCTGTCGCACCCCGAGGCCAGTTTGTAGGGCGGGCTGGGCGTTTCGCCTGAGACTTTTCCACGTTTACGATTCTGAAACTTAAACAGTGGCAGTTTCACAGATAGAGGGCGGGTCGTTTTCAAAATGTGGCTCTCGCCTCAGCGCCGCGCACATTCGTCTTTAAACAATTGCAAGAGCTCCACGGATTGAGGGCGGGTCGTTTTCAACATGTGACTCTCGCCTGTTACGCTGCGCACGTTCGTTTTAAACTGTTGCAAGAGTTTCACGGATTGAGGGCGGTTCCTTTTTAACATGTGGTTCTCGCCTCAGCGCCCCGCACATTCGTTTAAACAAATTGCAAGAGCTCCACGGATTGAGGGCGGGTCGTTTTCAAAATGTGGTTCTCGCCTCAGCGCCCCGCACATTCGTTTTAAACAAATTGCAAGAGCTCCACGGATTGAGGGCGGGTCGTCTTCAAAATGTGGTTCTCGCCTCAGCGCCGCGCACTTTCGTTTTAAACAGTTGCAAGAGCTCCACGGATTGAGGGCGGGCCGTTTTCAAAATGTGGCTCTCGCTTTAGCGCCGCGCGCATTCGTATTCAATCAGTTGCAGGAGTTTCACGCGTTCCCATGATCAATGTACGGGAAATGGTGTTTTGGAAGGATTCAGGACTACGCGGGTGCAACAGTTATGTTGATTCGCAGTGCTGAAATCCCACAATGGCGCTCTGGCACGATTCCAAATCGTCAGGACGCAGCAGTCAGTTCGATCCGTGGCGTGGAAATCCCGAGAACAAGGTCTTGACATGCTTCAAGGTCTTCAAACGGTTGTCTTCCAAAGAGGCAGTTCCCTCAGTGGAAATGAACCATTGTAGGGGCCTATGAAGAGGGAGCTTCGAGGGAGGGTTTATTCCAACATCGTTGATGACTCCAGGGTTTGCACTGGTCCTCCTCCTCCTCCTCCTCCTCCTCCTCCTCCTCCTCTCCCTCCTCCTCCTCCTCCTCCTCCTCCTCCTCTTAACTGTCTCCTCCTTCTCCTCGTCCACCTCCTGTTCCTCCTCCTCCTCCCCCACCTCCTGGCGGCGAAGGCGGCTGGCTGTCTCGCCTTGAAGGGCCTCGCGGCCAGGGCCCGATGGACAGGTGGGGGCGCGGCAAAGGAGATGATCGAGGGCATCGATTGCGGGCTGGTCAGCAAGGGGGACCAGGCCGAGGCGCCTCTCTACTTGGCAGCAGAAGCAGCACCGCTGCCGCGGCTTCTCGAGGACACCCTCACCCAGCCGAACGCGGAGAAGGGGTGGACATTCGCGGTGGTCGAGCCTACCGTTCGCGGTGCCGGACATTGCGGGGCGAAGCCAGGGAGGGCCAGCTCGTGCACTGCGTGTCGGACAACGCGAACGTGAAGTCGTGGCTGAGCCATCGGAGAGCGTGGAACCCAGTGGCGCGCAACCTGGCGGGGCTGGTCCAGAGGTTAGCGGCGCGCCGCGGGTTCGCGGCAACGGGTTCGCGGCAACCTGCGTCTACGTCCGGGCGATCGGATTGCCGGCGAGAGCCCGCCAACAGTGCGCTGCGAGCTGGGGCGCCGGCACCCGAGGCCTGAGGGGCTCTCCCGGACCGAGCGAAGGTTGCTCCGCCGCCCCAGGGAGGAGGGGCCGGTGGCCGCCGCCGCTCTCCGTCGACGAGACTTGCGGCGAGGGGCCACTGCGCCGCGGCCCCCCCCACTCGCCGGGCAGACCTGCGCGGGCGTAGGGGGCCTCCTCCGCGCGCGCGGCAGAGGCTGGGAGGAGCTAGGGGGACATCCCCAGGCGCCCGGCTCCGGAAGCGTCGACTGGGTGCAAGGAGGAGGAGGAGGAGGAGGAGGAGGAGGAGGAGGAGGAGGAGGAGGAGGAGGGGGGGGAGGAGGAGAAGGAGGAGGAGGAGGAGGAGGAGGAGGACCAGTGCGAACCCGGATGTCACCAACGATGTTGGAATAAACCGTCCCTGCTCCCTCTTCATCGGCCCCTACAACGGTTCTTTCCCATTGGGGGAACTGCCTCGTTGGAAGACTACCGTTTGAAGACCTTGAAGCATGCCAAAACATTGTTCCCGGGACTTCCACGCCACGGATCAAACTGACTGCTGCGGGCTGACGATTCGGAATCGTGCCAGAACGCCATTTGTGGGACTTTAACACCGCGAAACAAAATAACTGTTGCACCCGCGTAGTCCTGAATCCTACCAGAACACCATGTCTCGTACGTTGATCATGGGAACGCGGGAAACTCTTGCAACTGATTAAAAGCGAATGTGCGCGGCGCTAAGGCGAGAGCCACGTTTCAAAAGGAACCGCCCTCAGTCAGTGAAGCTCTTGCATTTTTTGTAAGCGAATGCGCGCGGCGCTACGGCGAGAGCCACATTTGAGAAGGAACCGCCCTCAATCCGTGCGCGTCGCTAGGGCGAGAGCCACATTTTTAAAGCCACCCGCCCTCAATCCGTGAAACTGCTGCAAAACTTTAAAACGAATGTGCGCGGCGCTAAAGCGAGAGCTTGTTTTTTTGGAAAACGGCCCGTCCTCAATCCGTGAAGCTCTTGCATCTGTTTAAAACGACTATGCGCGGCGCGAAGGCGAGAGCCACATATTGAAAACGACCCGCCCTCAATCCGTGAAACCCTTGCAACTTTTTAGAACGAATGCGCGCGGCGCTAAGGCGAGAGCGACATTTTCTAAATGACCCCCTCTCCATTTGTGAAACTGTTGTCATTTTTTAGTTTCAGAAGCACAATTGTGAGGAAGTCTCAGGCGAAACGCCCGGCCCACCCTAAAAACTTGCCTCGGGGTGCGACAGGGAGAAGTTATTTATAAGGAACAGGAATGGAGGAGGAGGGAGAGGGGGAGGAGGAGGAGGAGGAGGAGGAGGAGGAGGAGGAGGAGGAGGAGGAGGAGGAGGAGGAGGAGGAGGAGGAGGAGGAGGAGGAGGAGGAGGAGGAGGAGGAGGAGGAGGAGGAAGAGGAGGACGAGGAAGCATGCCCCTGAACTCAAGGGCTCTGAGGTCGTGCGCTTGCTGGACGCCGTCAGCGCCAACGAGCCGCAGGTGGTGGGCGTGGATCTGCCAGTGCAGCTGGAGCCGGAGCGGCTGGCCCAGGGCCTCGCCCGGCTCGGGTAGTTATCGGAGCGCCACGCGTTGCGGCGACTTGGCCTCGCTGGCGCGCACCGTCAACATCAGCTGGAAGGGCAGAGCAGGCGCTGGCTTGGCGAGCCAGGTAATGCTGCCAGCCCCCCCGCTGCGCACTCCAGCAGCTCTTGAAGCAGGACGACGAGGGCTGCGCGCGCAGCTGGGCAGACGCATTGGGCGCCGTGATTTGGGACCCGCGCGCGGGGAACCACGACCCTCTGATGCCCCGAGGGGCGGGTCACATCAATCGAGAGGGCCAGGCGCTTGGTCCACTCGGCGGACGGCCCTGCTGGCGCGGTGCACTGGTCAGGGCAAGCACCTGGAGGGCCTGCCGCGCTGCTATTGCACGTCGCCGGCTCGTTTGCCCCTGGCGGGGGGGCGGGGTCACGAGTCCCACCGGTTGCAGTACCGCTCTGGGCTCCAGGGTCGTCAATCTGGGCAAACCCTGTCCTGAGGTGGGTTGGTACCAGCGCACTGGTAGGCTAATCTGTATAATTGTTGCGGCCCATGCGTGGCTTGAGGTGTTAAGTAAGGCCGAAAATATGAGGAGGAGGAGGAGGAGGAGGAGGAGGAGGAGGAGGAGGAGGAGGAGGAGGAGGAGGGGAGGAGGAGGAGGAGGAGGAGGTGTTAAGCAAGGCCGAAAAGATGAGAAGGGGGGTCTCCTGCTGGCCAGGCGGAGCGAAAAGGGGCGTGGCGCGCGCGTGGCCGCCCCCTTCGTTCCTGGAGTTCGATGACGTCCGTGCTGAGGGGGCGTTTTTTTTGTTCTCTCTCTCTCTCTCAATTGGCCTGCTTTCCCAGTCGGGCCATATGAGTTAGTCGTCGCCCCAGTCACACGCACGCTCCTCCTCCAAGTCCTTCTCCTCCTTCTTCCGGCCTTCCTTTCGCTTGCCCCTTCGTCGCCCTCTTTCTTATCCTTCCTGCCCCCCTCGTCCTCTTCGTCATGTACCGCTGCCCCTCCGCCCCGCCTCTCCCGCTCTCTCCACCCCCTGCCCCCTTCGGATGGTGCCCTTGGCCTCCCGAGACCAGTTGCAGCAGCCCCACCAACGCAGACAGCGACGACCCAGAGGCAACGGCGCCGGTGCTTCGGCCACAGCGTCGTTCTGGTGGCCCTGGTAGCCACCAGTTTCGGATTTCGGGTGGCCCTGGCAGGCCACAGCGAGCACGAGAGGTTCGGGATGGTGGAGGACGAGGGCGAGGACGAGGGGACAAAGGAAGATGGGGAACCAGAAAAGGGAGGAGGAGGAGGAGGAGGAGGAGGAGGAGGAAGTGGAGGTGGGGGTGGAGGAGGAGGAGGAGGAGGAGGAGGAGGAGGAGGAGGAGGAGGAGGAGGATAGAAGGGGAATCCCTGGGAGGAGGTCGGAAGGGGAGGAGTAAGGGAAGAACTCATCATGTTCTCCCCGCTTTCCCTCATCGCCCTTCTTCCCGTCATTCTTGCCCTTCGCCTCCTCGTCCTCACCTTCCTCCTCATGATCCTTATCCTCCCACTCCGTCTTTTTTACATCATCCCTGTCGTTGCCGTCCTCCTCCTTCCCCCTTCTCCATCCCCATCCGTCCTACTCCTCTATGTATTTATCATGCTTTTTCTACTCCTTCGCCCACCTGACCCCCTCCGCCCAGGCTTCTGATGCCTCCTTCATCCCTCCGCCTCTTTCCCAATCCGCCCCGTTTCTGACTTTTCTCCCATGGACGCTGTTCCAGCTCCGTGCGGCAGAGGCTGCGCAGACACACCCTCAGCTGCATGCCGGCGGGCGGATTCACAAAGATATTTCAGTTCAACTACGGCGATACGTCCTCGCTCGTTCAGGTCTCCCCTCTTCCTCCCTCCTCGGTCCCTCCGCCGTCTCCCTCCGCCTGCGTCCTCTCCCTCCTCCCCAACTCCCTCCTTCCTCCTCCGTCTTCCTTCCTCCCACTCCTCCCTCCTCTTCTCGTACCTCCTCCTCTCCTTCCTCCTCTTCTCCTCCCTCCTCTTCTCCTCCCCTCTCCTCCCCTCATTCCTCCTCCATTGCCCTTCCTCCCACTCCTCCCTCCTCTTCTCCTCCATTCTCTTCTCCTCCCCGCGCCTCCCCCCATTCTCCTCCCTCGCTCCCCTCCTTTGCCTCGCTCCTCTCCTCCAGGCTGGGCTGCGCCCTGGGGACACGGTGGTCATGATCGACGAGAATCCAGTGGTCGGAATGCCGTTCGGAAAGGTACTGGAGCGCCTTTGGGCCACAGGCAGCGGGCGCGGCGCACGGGTAGGATTATCAGGAGGAGGGTGAGGGTGAGGGCGATGGAGGGTGAGGGCTGGAAGGAGCAGCAAGAGGATTGGGGGTGGGCGTGGGGAGGCGAGGATCAGGGTGAGGAGGAGGGGGGACGCAGGAGGGAAGTAGGAGGAGGATTCGGAGGAGGCGCATGCGGAGGCGGAGGGTGAGGGTGAGGGTAAGGGTGAGGAGGAGGAGGAGGTGGAGGGGGAGGAGGAGGAGGAGGAGGAAGGGATGAGGATGAGTGGAAAGAGGATACGTAGTAGGAGAGGATCGACAAGTGGAGGGGAATGAGGCGTAGGAGCAGGAAAGGGAGGAGGAGGAGGAGGAGGAGGAGGAGGAGGAGGAGCAGCAAGAGAAGGAAGAACAGGAGAAGATGATGAGTATTCCCAAGGATGCCAGCACCTGCCATCTAAGCGGCGCAGCCCTGTGAGCCACCCTGCCGAGAGCCGAAGCCAACGGACAGCACATTTCCCGAGCGTGAATGGCTTCATCAGTGCTGCCGTGCTCGTCATCAGCTGCTTGCACGTCGAGTCCACCATCGAGTGGTCGACGAATCTATCTTTTCCCTCATCTCCATGGTGTCCCGAACGACGGCTAGCCCCTCCTTGCATTGTTTTGACCCTGTGGCACGTAATGGTCACCCCCTTGGTAACGGTAACGATCGCACGCAGGGGGTGGTGGGGCTGGACCCCTCTCCTCATGATTGTGCTCGCGCGCGTACTACTGCGCCGATCCGAAAGTTTCCCCTAATTTCGCCACCGTGCTCGCCGCGGCCATCTGGGGTGGCGCGCGCAGGATAAGACTCGCGGGGCCCGAGGGCGGATGGGGGCGATGTCGCGAGGGCAGAGTCGGCGCGCCGATGGGCAGCCCAGCGCCCCGTTTGGCTGGAGGGGCCCAGTACAATGCAAGGGCAGAGCCTGACCCCCGCCCGAGGTCGCGGGATCGGGTTCCCCTTTCCAATTTAAAATTTAAATCTCAACCGGTGTACTGACCCGAAAAGGAGCAAACGGCATAGGACTTCCTCGAACAAACTTTCGGGTTCGGTCATACGACGACCCGAAAAGTTTACCAGCCGACCTGAAAGTGGCCAAATCCCATAGGACGCGTGCCAAAAAAATCGGGCCCCGTTCGAACGACCCGAAAATGTGCAAACCGCTGAGGACTCCTTGCGAACGCATCGTTCTCGAGGTCTTCGGGCCCATTCCGAAGAAACCGAACGTGGGCAAACCGTTTAGAACTTCCAATCAAAAGCGGTTTCTCGGTGGTTCCGTTCAGGGCAGACCGCCGATGGGCAGACCGCTCAGGGCGTCCTGCGCAAAAAACGGTTTGCCGGGTGAGCCATTGTCAACGGGAAATCGCCCCGCGCGTGATCGGGGTTCGCACGGGGGCGCGGCAGCTCTCGCGTGTCCAGGGGGCATGCGTTGTCGCGCTCTTCCAACATAGCGGTGCCCTCGACGACGGACCGCGGATCCGCGCTGGGCTCCCCCGGCGGCGCTTCCGGCGCCGCCCCTGGCGCGTTCCGCGCGCCGTGGAGGGGTTTCCAGCGCAGATCCAAAAAATCCGCGCGGAACGCCAAACGTTTACGTTTATTCGGAAACTGGAGCATATACATTACCAGTGGCGGGCGGTTCTTCAATCCCAGGGTTTTTTTGAGGGTCGGGGGCGACGTCGGGGTGGTGTGGTGTATATTTTCCTCCGTTTTCCAAGGGAAGCAACGACAAATGTATTCACCAGGATCCCGTACACACCAAGATCCGCGTTCTTGTGCGAATCTCAGCGCAGGGTCGGAAAACACACGTCGGTGTATAGAGTTCGTTTCCTTCTGCCGTTTTTTTCTCCTTCTTCTGCTTGAGACGCCATGGTTCCTAAGCCACCTCCCTCCTTCAGGGGTGGACAGAACCCCCACCAGCGACACGCCGATTCGTGACTTGTCCGTTTTCGGTTTTCGAGAGGGCGCCGTGGCCGCTATTTTCCAGGCTCGCGCCCGCCAGGTTTGGGCCTCAGGTCGTTTTCACTAAACCACGTTTTCCTAAAAGGGGGGCTTGTCCATCCCCGAATCCCACCGCGACGGCGGACCCTGGGGCACCTCCGCGCTCTGCAAAATTCCCCCCCTGCGCAGCCTCCCAGAGGCTGCGGGCCCCTGCACGGCGGCCGCTCCGTGCCCGCCTGCTCCCTGGCCTGGCGGCCTCGCCCCCTGGTCCGATGGTCTCGGTCGCGTGGCCCACCGCGGGGGCGGGGACCTCTCCTCGGACGAAGCTCAACTCGGGCCTGTCCCTCTACGCGAGGAAGAGTCCCAAAGAATCAACAAGATCGTCCGGGATACATGTCCTTTTGCATTTTTGGACTATTCTGGGGGTCTGCTTTTGGTATGTTTCAGGTTTCCTCCACCTTCCGCCTGTCGGGGGACGTGCCCGACCTGAGATGAGCCTCGCTCTGTTCTTGCGCGCGCTGGCCCCTCCACGGCATTCCCTGGCACATTCCCCGGCCTCGCTCGCCTCCCGCGCCTCCTCCGCGTGGGCGGCTTCCCCCACGCAGGCGTCCGACGGCACGTCGGCCCCCCTGCGAGTCGCGCGGCCCTCCTCGGCGCACGGGCCGCGCCTGGCGTGGCTCTTGCCGAGGCCGCCGCGCCCCGCGCCGCGCGGGCTGCCCCTCCACGGGCCTGCCGCCCTCCCGCCCAGGGCTCCTGCCGCCTCCTCCGCTTCGCTCCGCTTCGGCTCCGACGGCTTCGACGGCTCCGATCCGAGTCGACGTGGGATTCCGATCCGGGCTCCGCTGCCTCCCCGGAGGCGCGCCAGCCTGCCGACGCCCGCCGCTCTGACCCGTCCCGATCCTCGGCTGCCGACTCCCGCCGATCCTCGGCGATCCAACTCATCGATTCGGCTCTGGGCGCTCCTGCCTTCCCCGAGCCGGAGCGCAGGATGCGGGCAGACCCTGCGATGGGCGGCCCGGGCCCCGTGCGCCCCCGGCGCGCGTGCGGGCGGCTCCCTCGACGCACTCCCAGCTCGGCAGCAGCTCTCCGCCGCGGGCTTCCACTGCAGAATCGTCCGACGGCACCTCCATGGTCCTCCCCGCCTTTTCTGGCACCCGGACGGTCCCCACGGCGTGCGCGACGGAGTCGTCCGTCGGCACCCGCGCGCACTGCTTTCGGTCCTCGGCCGTCCCCTCCGCAGGCTTGCCGACCTCCATGTTCTCAACCTCCCTCATGATCTCCTGCTTCAGCGCCTCATCCCTGCAGCCCTGGCTCTTGCGCGCGTCCGCCACGACGCTCTCCACATGGACTGCCCCTCAGGCACCCCGCCGCGGGAGCTATCCACCCAGAAGCCGCCCCCCTGTCTTCCTTCCCATCCGCCCCATGATCGAAGAAGAAGAAGAAGAAGAAACACCATAAACAGACAGTTTTGTCTCTCCGCGCGGATTTCTTGGATCCGCGCTGGGCCCCCCGCGGAGCCTCCAGCGCCGCCCCTGACGCGCTCCGTGCGCCAGGGAGGGGGTTCCAGCGCAGATCCAAGAAATCCGCGCGGAACGCCAAACGTTTATGTTTTTGCATTTTTTCTCTTTGTACTTGAGTCGCCATCGTTCCGAAGCCACCTCCATCCCACCTTCTGTTAATACCCCACGGAAGCTGTCCACCCAGAAGCCGCCCCCCACCCCCTCTTCCTTCCTCTCCGTCACCTCCCCACCCCTCCCCTTGACCTCCCAAACCACTCCCCCCCCCAGAGGTCCAGGGGAGGGGTGGGGAGGTGGGCGGAGGGGAGGGAAGATGGGGGGGGCGGCTTCTGGGTGGACAGTCTCCGCGTGGTATTCAAAGAGGGTGGGATGGGCGGGGCTTTGGAACGATGTCTCCAGGGGCGGGGGGGAGGGGTAGCTGAGGGGTCCCCCCCTCTTGTTCGGTCTCCTTGGGCGCGCTCCATCAACGCTATGATGCTCAGTGCTGTACTGTTCGCTGATGTGTGTCGAGATGCAAAGCAATGCGATGCTACACAGTGCTACGCGCTGCTATCATATGCTATGCTGCGCGATGCAGTATCATGACCATGCTTTACTATGCTATTATATGCTGTGGTACGCGTTGCCACGCTCTACAACGCTATGCTACGGCATGATTTCCCACGCTATGCTATATTACGCCACGATTGCACGGTTTTCGTGGTGCTATGTTGAGACGTGCTCTCGCTCTTTTATCCCATGCTGGCTACGCAATGCCGTGTCGAGGAATGCAAATACGCCATGCGATGGCATGGGATGTCGCGCCATGCCATGCGGTTCCATGGCACGCCATACTACGGTGTGCCTTGATCTCCCAATGCTGTTATAGGATGTGCTTGGCGGTGCTGGCATGAATCGTTGTGCTGTGCCACGCTCACCACACGGCACTGCAGTACACGTTACACACCTTCGCAGGAAGCGGTGCGCGGGCGGGGCGCCCGCCTTGTCCCGGGGCGACGGCAACAGCAGAACAGCGACCATCACTTCGCAGCAATCCGCACTAGGAGCCCTCCTTCAGTTATGCAGCTGAGGGTAATGGAGCTCAAGCAGTGGCGAAGCGTCCTGGCTTGCCTGATTATAGGCCCACCAAAGAATGTTCTAAGAAGCTTTTGTGGTCTGCGCGGAATGTTCTTAGAACATTTCCGGCCGAGAGTGTTTTGTTTTAGCATCTCGGGCTTATGTTCTAAGACAATCATTTAGTTCTTAGAGCATTTTTGGGTTCTAAGAACATGTCGTAGTAGGCTGAATGGAGTGCCGGGCCGTTCGATCCCTGTTCAAGGAACACCATGCACCCTCCTGACTCTGACGTCTTACCGCCCCGAGCTCGAATCGTCAATCGTTCAGCTTAGCCCGTCAGTAGCAACAAGTGGCGGCTGGCCACGACCAGTCGTCGTCGTCGTCATCGTCGTCATCGTCGTCATCGTCGTCGTCGTCGTTGTCGTCGTCGTCGTCGTCCGTCGTCCATCGTCGTTGTCGGTCGGCATCTGCAACGAGACTCGATGCATATTCCAAGGCTTTGCCCGTCGGAAATGATACTCTGGGGGCCGCAGGCGGTAAGCAGCCCGGGAGCGGCACCTTCTACGTCGTGTCCACGGAGGGGCCCTACGGCATCGGCATCCGCGAGACTGCCGACATCAAGGGTGCCCGCACCGGCGAGGACATCATCAGGGGGGAGGTCTTATGGGGCCCAGGCATGTACGCCACCACCACCTCCCTCACCCCCTCCCTCTCCCAGGAACGAGGAGAGGAATGGGAGGGCAGAGGAGGGATGAGGAGTCGACGTGGTGGTGGTGAGTATTCTTGTGGCCCGCAGGTCTTCGAGGTCGACGAAATCATCTACCCTGGCGAGTACGACCACCCTGGGCCTGAGGGATCGAAGATCGAGTACCTCCACCTTGCCGACGGGCGCGGCTGGGTCTTCGACACGAAGGATCCGGAGAATCGGTCGGTGACGGCCCTCGTGGACGTCGAGCCGGGCTGCACGCTGACGATGTGGCGAGGTTCAGACAACGACCTGTTGAGAACGCTCGGCCTGAAGTTCAAGCAGGACAACGACGGGAACGATTTCAAGATCACCGTCCTGGAAGAAGGGCAGCCTGCACAGATCATCAGCGCCAAACCAGGTTCGAACCTTCGTAAGAATTTGGTCGACAACAATTTCCAGATCTACGCGAATTACCGGGCAGCGTTCAATTGCAATGCACAATCGTTGTGCGGAACGTGCATTGTGGACGTGATGGACGGAGAAGAAAATATGACGGTGAAGTCGGTCAACGAGAAAAAGTCGATGGCGAACAATCCTAGGGGCTTCCGACTGTGTTGCAACATCGATGTCTATGGTGATTGCACAGTTCGACTGCGACCCAAAGGCATAGTTTATGGCGGTGGCACTTCTTAGATAGTGTCTTTTAAATACATGTCTCTTGTGGCGCGCATGTGGCGCGCATGAACGAGGAGTTTTCAGAAATAATGAACCTGTAACTTCCCGTCTCTCTCTCTCTCTCTATGTCTCGGTCTCGTGCTGATCCTTCCTCTTTCCCCATCGCCCCTCCATCGCCTCCTCCTCCAAATCCGAGCTCTGCAGGTGGATCATCATGGTGGTAATTCAGGTGTGTGTGACGAGGATGACAACGGGCAGTGCAACCGTGTCTGGACCGGAGAGGGATTATTCTCCAGGGGGTTCCGCGAGAGCGCGAAGAGAATCGCGCTTCACGCTCTGTGCGACGCGAAGCGCGAAGGTCGGTAACCCAGGTTCTGCTGCAGGCCCCCACCATCGCCCCCAGTCCTCCCGCAGCGGTGCGCCTCCCTCGTTCTGTGTGCGCCGCCGTGGACGCTGCCCAGATTCTGCCCTGAGCGCGTCGCGTATCGGAGGAGGAGGAGGAGGAGGAGGAGGTGGAGGAGGAGGAATATTCATTTGTTGATCGCTCATGCTTGCAGGTGCCCGGCGGAGTGGCGGCCAGGACCCGCAATCCGAGACGGGGCCAGGAAGTTGCCGAGGCCGAGAAACCCGAGTGCGGAACCATGTCAGGTCCTCGAGCACCATGTTGGTCCGTGGCGAAATCCTGGGCGTTGTTGCCATGAGAAACCCAAATAAGGCCGTGGGCCTGAGACAATAAAGCCTCCCGCGGCATCTCAACCGATGCCACTTCACGAAACTCTCCACGCCGCACCTACGGGTAACCGCAAGAACAGCTTGATCCTCTTCAGCATTATCATCATCTGTTCTCTTGCCGACAGCCGCGTTTGTGCGGCTGTGGCCGCAAGTCAGGTCGTTGCGTCGTAGACGCGCCCCGACAGAATCCGCCAGCTTGCCAGCTGGGGTTTGTGAGCCCTCGGAGTCTTCGGGTTGGGGAAAACCGCCTTCTGAAAGGGAGGGCTCCGTCGAGCAAGCCCAGTAGACCAGCTCCGGGTCCAGGTCCTGCTTCTTGGAAAGCATGCCCCTGAGGTGCTTGTAGGAGTGAACTGCAGAGATTTTGAGGCCCCTGGGGAAGGTCACGTTGGGAGCCACCGAGAGTACCCCAGCTTGCCCAATGCAACACTTCTTGCAGGCGGCTCCGGACCCAGGGCCTCTGAAGACCAACATGAGGGCGGTCTTAGTGGGGCCCATGTTAACCTTGAGGCCCACCAGGGTAAACGTGTTGGAAACGTTCGAGATTGGGCCGTCCTGTCGATCAGTTGAGCAGCCGATTCCCATATGCTGAGCAGGCTATGGTCGCCATACTGGGCATACTGGACATCGTTGATCTCGTCGTGTTGTCGGGGAGGAGGAGGTCGAGCATGCGGCGATGTACAGTCGGAACCTCCATGCAAAATCCCTCAGCCTCCAGCTGGGTGCGAGTCTTGATGTTGCATCGCGAGACGATGAACAAGACAAGTTGTGCCGCCAGCGTGTTGCCTGGGCGCATGCCCGTGGCTGTAATCGAAACTGTGTGGTCGCCCAAGTCTCCGTTAGAGTCTGAGCAAGCACGCGGCGTAGGTGGCAGGTTACCTTCAGGCCCTCGAGAAGTGTGGGCCCGTCAGCTCCTGTTCGGGAAGTGCCGTCGCATCTAGGGGGAGCCCCGATGCCTGGAGGAGCTGCGCAATCCGATACTTTAAAATCGTCGTCTCATTGTCGAAGAGTGCTGGGGTTTCCCTGATGCTGTGATGGAAGGCAGCCAAGGCGACAATAAACACTGCCATAGACCGAGCTTCGAGTTTGATCTGAGGCAGCTCCTGCATCAACCTAACCATGGGCACAGCAAAGTCGGTCCCTCTGCCCAGTATGCCTCCACAGTGAGTTCCGGGGGCGTAGTCGTCCAGGAAAAGTTGCAAGTTCCGTGCCACGAGAGCATGAGCTCTTTTCCGTTCCTGTGGCCTACTCGCTATCCATCGGCTTTATGGGCAGACGTTAGGGTCTCCACGGCTCTTTTACATGTCACACAGAAAGGAGCTTTTCCACAGGAGGGTTCCATGAATATACAGCATTTACTCCAAGACGAGGGGGCGCAATCTTGAGGGCAGTATGTCAGGAGGGCTCCGGTGACCCCGTCGGAGCAGGAGGGGGAGGTAGGATGAGGAGGAGGATGACCAGTGTAAGTCCAAGAAGCACCAACCATGTCGCAATCAGCCCTCCCTCTAAGTTCCCTTTTCGTAGGTCTCTACAAGAGTTTCCCTTCATTGCGGGAAGTTCGTTCACTGCCCCATTTGAAGACAAGCGTTTGAGAACCTCCAATGGTGCCAATCTCTTGGACTTCAGCGTCGCGGATCAACGTGACTGTTGCGTCCTGACAATCCTAAATCGTACCAGAACATCATTATTGGGACTTCATCAGTGCGGATCAACGTGGCTGTCAGCCACACGAACTCACGAAATTGTGGCAACATATTAAGACGAATGCGCGCGGCGCCTAGGTGAGAGCCACAGAGCCACATTTTGAAATCGGCCCGCCCTCAATGAGCTTGTAACCAGGTTTTCAGACGAATGTGCGCGGCGTGTTTAGGCGAGAGCCGCATTTCGTAAAGGGCCTGCCTTTCATCGTTGAAATGGTTGCGAACGTTGAAACCAATGTGGTCGGCGCAAATGCGAGAGCCACACTTTGAAAGGGGCCGTTCTCCACCTTTGAAGCTGTTGCAGAGTTGTAAGACAAATGTGCGCGGCGCTTAGGCGAGAGCCACATTTTGAAAGCTACCCGCCCGCCATCTGTGAAGCTGTTGCGACGAATGCGCGCGGCGCAAAGGCGAGAGCCGCATGTCGAACACCACCCGCTCTTCATCAGCAGTTCACTTGCTTTAGATTGCAAGCTTCATTGCCACATATGGCGGGGACATCTCAGGCGAAACGCCTGGCCCGCCCTACCGACACCCTTGGGGGTGTGACAGGGAGGAGCCAGTAATACGTAAATGGATGGGGGAGGAGGAAGGGGCGGATGTTGAGTCAGAGGGGGAGGAGGAACAGGAGAAGGAAGAGGAGACGCAGAAGGCGACAGTAGGGAGGGGGAGGAGGAGGAGGAAGAGGAGGAGGAGGAGGAGGAGGAAGATGTAACCAATGATGATGATGATGACGATGCTGATGATGGTGATGATGATGCTGCTGATGCTGATGATGATGGTGGTGGTGGAGATGATGATGCTGGTGCTACTGATGATGCTGATGATGAGGATGAGGATGATGGTGATGATAATGATGAGGATGATGATGATGACTCTGATGGTGGTGGTGGTGATGATGATGCTGATGATGAGGATGATGATGATGGTGGTGGTGTGGTGGTGGTGATGATGATGCCGATGCTGATGCTGGTGGTGCTGATGCTGATGGTAACGTTGGTGGTGGTGGTGGTGTTGCTGCCGATGCTTATGTTGTTGGTGATGATGATGAGTTTGAGGATGCTGCTGCTGATGATGATGAAGATGCTGATGATGCTGCTGCTGATGATGGTGCTGATGCTGATGATGGTGCTGATGCTGATGGTGTTGATGATGACGGCGGCGGCGATGACGTCGATGTTCATGATGTTGCTGATGTTGATTATGAAGTTGATGATGTTGATGATGATGCTGATGCTGCTGATGATGATGCTGATGATGATGACGATGCTGATGCTGATGCTGATGCTGCTGCTGATGATGATGATGATGATGATGCTGCTGCTGCTGCTGCTGATGATGATGATGATGATGATGATGATGATGATGATATTGAGGAGGAGGAGGAGGAGGAGGAGGAGGAGGAGGAGGAGGAGGAGGAGCGGAGGCGGAGGCGGGCGGAGGAGGAGGTGGGGGAGGGGGAGGAGGAGGAGCAGGAGGATACGGATAAGGAGGAGGAGGAGGAGGATGATTCGGAGGAGGAGGAGGAGGAGGAGGAGGAGGAGGAGGAGGAGGACATGATCGAGGAGGACGAGGAGAAGGTCGCGCGCATTCTTCCTGAGAGACGGTTCGCGATCCCGTTACCCACTTGCCATTGTTCCATGGTGCCAATGACTCTGGCACCATTTCTCGATGGCTGTGTCCCCATCAAATTTCCGCCGCTGCTCCACCGCTTAGTTGACATGGTCCCAGATGCGCATGACCCCTCAGAGGATGAAGGTGGATGCGGAGGAGGTGGGGAGGAGGAGGAGGAGGAGGAGGAGGAGGAGGAGGAGGAGGAGGAGGCGGGGAGGAGGAGGAGGAGGAGGGGGGCAGGACGATGGAGTAGGGGGGGAGGAGGAGGAGGAGGAGGAGGAGGAGGAGGAGGAGGAGGAGGAGGAGGAGGAGGAGGAGGAAAGGGAGGTGGAGGAGGAGGAGGAGGAGGGAGGAAGGGAGGTGGAGGAGGAGGAGGAGGAGGAGGAGGAGGAGGAAAGGGAGGAGGAGGAGGAGGCGGCGGCGGAGGAGGAGGAGGCGGCCACGGCCCCGCGGTCGGGCGTTGTCGGGCGGGGCTAGGAGTAAGTCGGGCATGTCCCTCCACAGGAAGGATGTTCAAGAATTGTTAAACATAGTCTGGTGACGATGTTTCGTGCTCTTTTGACTGCTTGTGTGTTGTTGCTGCTAGTTTTAGTTGTTCTTCCAACATCCGCCTGTGGGAGGACGTGCCCGACCTAAGGCCAGGACGAGGATAGATGCGTTCCAGAGCGTTCTGGAACGCTCCGAGAAGTCCGCGGCGCCCGAGGCATCCTCCAGAGCCGCCGGACCTCAGAGATCCTCGATGCCCAGGCCCCCAACGTCATGACTTTTTCATTACGTCGACCCCTGGAGGTCTCGACCCATTCCCCTGGACCGGTTTTTCATCCTGAGTCGTTTTTTGACGGTCCCGAGGGCCGGTAAGGGCCCCCAGAGGCCGAATATAACAAAAAACCTCCCATCATGATTTTTTCATTGCCCGAGGGGGTCTGGGGAGTTCGTCCTCGTCCGGGCCTCGTCCTGCGTTGCCTCCTGGGGTGCGGGGCCATCGCGTGCGTGCTGGCGCGCCCTCTGCCTTGGCGAGCGCGCCGCGGGTTCCCGGGCCCCTGCCCCGATGTCCGCAAGGACGAGCGTCAGAGGAGGAGCAGGTACTCCTCCTCCTCCTCCTCCTCCTCCCTTTCCTCCTCCTCCTCCTCCTCCTCCCTTTCCTCCTCCTCCTCCCTTTCCTCCTCCTCCTCCTCCTCCTCCTCCTCCTCCTCCTCCCCAGGACGAGCGCCAGAGGAGGAGCGTACCGATACTCAGCGACGGCCCCTAGACGGCCCAGGCCGCGCCGAGGCCGAGGACGGCCCACGACGGCCCCGAGAGGGCCCTACCTATAGAGCCAGAACTCGAGATTGCATGTCCAGCTTGCTGCCCCATCGGGACCTCCCAGACCGCAAGCAGGCCTCCAAGAATCCCCCAAGAGGCCCAACAGAGGTCCGTAGCCATTTTGGCTCAAGCCGTAGCCGTCTTAGCGCAAGATCGAGCTGCCCCGCGGACTCATGGCGTCCGCCCGCTCCCCAGACGTGGAGGCCCAGGCGTGGCCGCAGGAGCCGCCCGTGTCGGCCGCCGCCGAGTGCGAGGGCGCCTCGAGCTCGGCGACGGACTCCTCCGTCCCGGGGAAGCAGCAGGGCCGCCCTGGCGCGATCCTCGGCCTGCTCACGCCAGCGCAGTGGCTGTACTGCGCATTCGCACTCCTGGCGGAGCTGGTGCTGGTGTGGCTCTCCCAGCAGGGCGTGACGGCGGCGCCCGCCGACGACGGGTGGGTCTGCACCGCCGCGCACTTGATGCTCGTGTGCCTGTACCCTCGGGCTGCGCCGCCGGGAGGCGCCAGTCGATCAGACGTCGCGCGGCTCGCGGTGGCCCCCGAGGCCGCGCCGGCCGGGCAGCAGGGGCTAGGGGTCGGGGCGGCGGCCGGCCCAGCAGGCGGGGGCAAGGGGAGGGTGTTCTTCCTGGACGGCGTCAAGACGCTGTGCACGCAGCTGGTGCTGGTCCACCACATCAGCATCGCCTTCGGGGGGGGTGGGCGGCATCGAGTGGGCCCTCCGGCTGGGCCAGTGCCCGGGCAACACGTTTGGCAGTCTGGTGACCATCTGGTTGCTGATCCCGGACCAGTCCTTCTTCATGTGCTTGTTCTTCTTTGTGGGGGGCGTCTTCGTTCCCTCGTCTCTGGAGCGCAAGGGCACCGGGGAGTTCGTGCGCGATAAGCTGAAGCGGCTCGGATGGCCCCTGGTCGTGACCTACTTCGTCGTGTCTCCGCTGTCGTCGGGCCTGAGGGGCACGGTGTTCCGCGGGGGCGGCATGCTGTCATACCTGTGGCTCGAGCCGAGCGTGACCTGGTTCCTCGTGACCCTCCTCGTCCTCAGCATCTCCTACTCCCTCGCCCCCTTCCCGCAGGTGGCCCTGCCGATGCCCTCCGCCGCCGGTGTCATCTCGGCCTGCGCCGCCCTGGGGGCCGTCTTAGGATGCGCTTGCGCGAATGCGACCGCGCGGGCAAGTCACGCGTGCGCGCGCGCGCGTGCGCGTGCCGCGCGTGCGCAGCCTGGGAAATCCAACATGGAGCCCCCCGGGGGCGCGGGGCGCCGGCGACGCCTCCGCCTGCCTCCCGCGCGCCCGACCCCCCCCGCAAGCCGACTCCTCCTAACTGCCAGTTCGCCCTGCTGGAAGTGGGCCCACAGCCCTGCGGCGGTCTGCCCTTCGACGCCGCCTTCTTCGCGGCGGGCTGCGTCGCGAGGCGGAGCGGATGGATGGAGGGCCTCCAGAGCATGGCGCCGAGGGACTACTGGCTGGCCCGGCTGGCTGCCTTGGTCTCTGTGGTCGGTACCGGCGTCCTTGCCGCCACGGTTGGGCTGGCCGAGATGATGGCGCCGCGGCCTGGGCCTCGAGTGTGCTCTGGCGTGTGGCTGGGTATCATGACCCGTGGCCATCTCCGTATCGGTCCTTCATTTCTTCGCGGTTCATTGCAACTCCTCGAGCCGCTTGCAGAAAATGGCCAGTGAGAGTCAGTACGCAGCCTACGTTCTCCAGGTCATCGTTATCCCCGGCGTCATTTTGACGTTGTTGCCGATCCTGAGGGCAGCAGGATACACGGTCGAGTTCGAGTCTACCTCGGACGGCACGTTCGTGAGCCGAAACGAACTTCCCCAGTGGGTCATTGTCGGTGGTTGGATCTATACCGTCGTTTGGGTCACCGTGATCTCGTGGCCGTTGGGGTATCTGTTCCGTAAACTGCCATTCGTGAGGGACGTGTTGTAGGGCTTGGGCAGCTCGGTTGCACGCGAATTCAAGGAAACGGATAGCGTGTTCTGTTGCAACCGATCTTGTCTACAAGATATGATTGCTTGCGGTTTGCGTGGGCTGACAGGCCAGGCGTACGTCATGGTTTCTGCACCCCGATATCACGGGCCGGCCAACTAGTGCCGCCCACCCACTCAGTGTGCTGCGCAGCGCATTCCACAGTAGTGCCAGCGGTCTCTGGCCTTGGCGGCACCGCGATGCTGGAGGCTGCGGGGGCCAGAGAATGGCATTCACTATGCAGTGATGCAAGCGCGCACCTGCCGTACACTGTTCGGTTGTGATTCTTTCGGGCATGGCCACCAGTGGCACGCCAACCCTTCACAGGCAACAGGTGTGGCAGATCGAAGACGCCTACTGCGAACCACCGCCGCTACCTGTTTGATGGAAGCGCCTGTGTGACCAAACGTTAGGCGAACAAAAAGAAGAGGCCCAATAGAGGCCCCAAGAGGATCGCAAACGGCGCCCATCAGAGAAACCTCCAAACTGCCTCCAGGAGACTGCCGACCAGATGCGTCAAGCTCCCGGGGAGCGGCCGGGGAGCGCCGCCCGGCGTTGGCCTCCGGGTCCCCTGCTCGGGCCCATGGACCATCAAACGTGGATCCAGGACGAAAGCCACTCAGGAGGAAAAAAAACACACAGACACAATTAATTGTCGATTCCCCAGAAAATATGGGAAAATATGGGAAGTGGGGGGGAACACAAAATCCCTTAAAATATGGGAAAATATGGGGGATATTTTTATTTGTGTGTATTTATTTGTGTGTCCCAGGGCCCCTTCACAACCGTGGATCCAGGACGAAAGCCATTCCCGGAGAAGGGGTCGGGGCTTCTGGTGCCGCGGATCGACAAAAAATTGCCTCGTGGAGGTCCTCGTCGCCACCGCCGGAGCCTCTCGACGTTCTGGTCAGAAGGCACCCCGGGAGGGGTGAGGGGAGTAGCGGTGTCGGTGCTTCCCCGGCCCCAGCGCGCGTGTCCCAGGGACCAGCGACCGCATGAGCATTGCCCGCTCCGTTCTGCCTGCCTGCTGCTGCTGCTGCTGCTGCTGCTGCCACGCAGAGCCTGCAAGACCGAAGAACCGAGTCGGGCGCCCTGCGACTTATGAGCGTGGGCCTGCACGTTGGGTGCGCGTGGTCGGTGCCATGTAACCACGGTCCGCGCAGAAACACGGAGTGTGGGACATATGTGCCATCAGCGACGCATGTTTTCAAGAGCGATCAATTCACAGGCGCCCGCCAGCACCAATCCGAGTTCGGGATGCCACCGTGCCTGGGTTTTGGGTCTGAACCTTATTCTTGGATGTTTGTTGGGATCTCGTAGGAGGCTTCTCGGACGCCTCTTCGAGGCAGTTTGGACGCCTCTTGGGGGCCTCTTAGGGCCTCTTTTGGGTCTCTTGGGGGCCTCTTGGGGCCTCTTGGGGGCCTCTCGGGAGCCTCTTGAGGCCTCCTGGGCGCCTCTTGGGGCCTCCTAAGGGCTTCTTCGGACGGAAGGCTCAGATTTTCGTGTTGTGTTCCCTTTTTGGGCCCCTTTGGGGGCCGTTTTGGGGCCCTCTTGGGCCGTTTTGGGCGTCTCTTGGCCTGTCCTGGGGCCCTCTTGGGCCGTTTGGGGGCCTCCTTTGTGGCCTCTGGGACCGTCTTGGGGCGGTCTTGGGGGCCTCCAGGGCCGCCCGCGAGCGTCGGGAAGCCGAAATGGCGACAACGCCAAAGTCCTTCCAAATCCGAAGGCAAATCAATGATTTTGGCTTCCTGGGGCCCTCTTGGGAGGCCTCTTGGAGGCCTCTTGGGCGTCTTGGCGGCCTCTTGGGCCGTCTGGGGGCCATCTTGGGTGTCCTGGGGCGATCGTTCGGCGATTCGCGCGGCCCGTCTGAGGGCCCCTTGTGGACCCGAAGAAGTCACGCGCCAGGCCGCGACAGGCCCCAGGGGAACCGCGGGAAGTCCCGACGGATTTGAGCACTTGGGCCCCTTAACTGACCCCTCAGGGCTGAAAACTGAGGCTCAGGGGGCTGGCCGAAGGACCCGAGGGCACGCCCACTCCGTGCCCAGAGGCGCGGTGGCGGATATCCATCCCTATGATCCGACGCTTCAGAACACTTGCAGCATCGCAAAGAATCACCTCCGGAGCCCCGGACCCATCGTTCTGCTGCATAGCTGGATCGATCTGTGATGGTCCCGGGGCCCGAAATTGGGCGAAAACGCCCGTTGCGAAGACATTGCTGCGCCAGGATCTCAGGGATGTCCACCGCTAGCGGAGGTTCCGAACTGACGATCCCCCAGGCGGTGGTGATGGTGATGGATTAATCCCCGCCTCGTAACTCGCACCAGCACCACCGCGACTATGATTGCGGCAGCCTCCATCATCGCGACCACGCATCACCAGCAGCACCACCGGGTTCTGATTCTGTGTGATCTGCCAGATGTTTTGCCACCCGTGGCGAGCAGGTATCGATCGGCACGGCTGCCAGGGGGGCGTGCTCATGCGCGATTTGTGTGCGTAACTCGAGGAGGGGATGGCGCGGGTGGAGGACATGGACAGATGATTCCAGAGTAGTGGACGGTCATAAGGGCTAGTAGCGAGTGGACCGATGGATGAGGAACTGCCGGCGACTTCACAGGCCAGGGCTGCAAGCGAGGAGTCTCATGCCGTGCCGCCCAGGCCTTGGCAACCTGCAGGAGAACGGAGTGACCACGAACTCGTTCTTGAACACCAACATCTTCCTGCACGCGTGGGTCGTCGTCACGGACAGCCTTGGCCATCTCTTGCTGGAAGCCCCTTGGCCCCACACTCGGCCGCAGGCGCGCCCTCTAGGCCACACCCGGCAGCCCGTTGCTGCCTCTGGCATGCCACCCGAAGGTCCTTCGAGCCGAGGCGGTCGCATGGGACTGCGGGCCTCCTCCGCTCTCGCCTCTCGCCGGCATCGGGCGCAACGTCTTCTGTCGAAACGTTGGCCCCCTCCCCCTCCTCCCCCTCCCCCTCCTCCTCCTCCTCCTCCTCCTCCTCCTCCTCCTCCTCCTCCTCCTCCTCCTCCTCCTCCCCCCCCATCCTCCCCCTCCTCCTCCTCCCCTTCCTCCTCTTCTGTCTTCTGTAATGCCATCCTGGCCCTTCGTGGCCCTGGAAACGACAGGGCCGTTTCTGTTACTGGCTCCGTTCTGCGGCTTTTGTTGCCAGTTCGGACGCCGTTCTTTTGCCGGTCCCGTCCCTTGTTTTTGCCGCTTCGGCTTTGGTTCCAATCCTGAAGCCGTTTTTTTGCCGTTTCCGGTCGCCTTTTTTTCCCCGTCTTCATTTTCAAAACACTTTTTCGGTAACAGTGAAAGAACGGCCCTGCCCTTCGGGGGCCTCGGGGGCCCCACTAAGTCCTGGCCGACGTTTCATCCCCGACGCTCTTTTGAATTCGCTTGATGGCCTGGGGCCCAGAGCGGATCTCTGGACCACCTCAGGAAACTATGACAGTCACGTGTTTTCCGCGACACTCGGCGGCGAGCGAGGGGGGGAAGTGAGAAGGGGCGGGAAGGCTCGCAAGGCTCCCGGCCTTCTGAAAAGCTTGTTGAGCCTTCCCCGAAGACACAGTAAAAGTTTCAGAAGGCGCGAGGCCTTCTGAGAAGCCCCGCCTTCTTCTGAGGAAGGCCTTCTCTATCTCACTTCCCCCCCCTCGCTCGCCGCCGAGATTCCTCCATAACGTCGACCCCAAGAGGTCTCGACCCACTCCCCGGGACCTGTTTTCCGTCCCGGGTCGTTTCTCGACGGCCCCGAGGCCCGGCGAGGGCCCCCTGGGGCCGAAAAGGATGGCAGACCTCCCGCCTCGCTCTTCTCATCTGCCCCCCCCTCGCTTGCCGCCGACTTCCACCGCAGGCCTCGGCGGCCTTTCATCGCGCCTCGGCGTGGCGTGCCGTCCTCGGGCTCGGCTGCGTGGGCGAGC